TTTCAATCTGATTGATATTTGTCATAAAAACATCGCATTATAAGTAGTAGGTTAATTCACAGCCCTAGTAAAAATGTTTATCTGGACATTTTACAAATAGATGAAACTTAAGCGTAAGATCAAAATAATAAACAAAAATAGTAATAACTTATTTTTGAGAAGCTGATGGATTTCTGATTTAAAGATATATATTCACGGTTGTGTAACATTATATAATGTCCCGGTCTAATTCCAGCTACTGATGGGAAAAATAATTAGAGCGAAAAATACGTCTACTTGATCACTCAAAATATACTATACACTTGTCACATTCAAGCTCATTCACGTCGATCTATACTTTAAAATGAAGTCAGTTACTGGATTTTATTATCTAGCGTTATTCATTCACCGAACGGAATTGACAGATATTCGTAAGAATATGGCATTTCAGTACAGCAGCTCCATAATTAGATACTTTACTTCTGATGTGAACAAGTCATGAGATTTGATTCGATATCATTTTGAAGAGCTCGTGTGTCAATAGTAATCGATCAACCAGATCCATAAAAAAGGATTGGATTACGGGAAAATGAACCTATACATGCCGTGTAAGATAATGGATCGAAAATTTGACTCTGTAACGTATGTATATCGTTTCAAGTTGTCATACCCCATCAGCACAGAGATGAAGTTGTCAGATCAAATCCGAAAATAGTAGAGGTAGCAACGCTATCAGTGGTAATAGGAAACATTAGGCATCGAAGACACGATTCGAGCAGACAATACAAATCAGTAAAATAAAAGCAAAAAAATGTCATGAGGAATCTACGAATTTCGTGGGATGACAAAGAACGGATGCACCTACGCCATTGCAAACGATTTCGAGGCGTTATTTAAAGTCTCCAACGATTAATTACTATAATCAAGCGGAACCCAACCAGCTAGTCGACATATGGCTCATTTTAATTGCGTGATGTCATGAGCTTTGCCATGTTTTGGCTTAGCCGCATCTAACGGACAACCACCGTCACACCTCTAACAACATCCGGGAGTATCTTGCTGACGATCAAATCCCTCCATCACTTATTAATACATGTCATGTATGCACATATACAACAGGATATACGAACCGGTTACTACTGGATGTGACTTCAGACAGAAGCAAAACAATTTTGATGGATACAGGTACATCTATTAAACAAAGCCCCAAATAGTACGACATTTGAATCCCGGATATCACACAGACAATAAGACAAGATTATGAAATGAAAGCAGTTAATTTAGAATTAAACCAATATTTTTAAACAGTAGAAAAAGTCTAGGCGACACTTTCGCTGAAGAATAATTACTATATTTTTGATAGGCAATTCAAACTAAATAACTGAAAACCTACTTAATAAATAAACAACATATATTCAGCAAATGTTATTTTATCACTTCACATTTTATTTGATTACTATGCCTCACAATTACCGATATGGAATATCAGCCTTAAGTCAGACAGACACCTTAGAAAATATATTTAAACAAATAAAATCCAAACAGGATTTTCAATCAATAATCGAGTCGTCTTATATAAAACACAAACGTCTAAGATGTCCAAACAATTGGATTAATACTTAAGGAACTCTTATTGAATTACTGACGCACTCTACGGTAAAAATTCATTAGCCTCCTGACGATTACATCATGTAGTCCTAAACGTAATTACCGCAAGGACTGCTGACACTCAGTGGTAACACAATGTTAGTAACGCAGTGGTTCAGTATCGTATGTTCGGGCACAGCGACGATAATTCAATTCAGCCAGTCAGTTACAATGTAGGACCAGGCACATATATGCATCGGTTCAAGTTGCCACAACTCATTAACACAACAAGATGAACATCAAATTCATCGAAGTAGTTACTTCAATGGTAATAATACATAAAAGAAAGATTGCATATGAGGATATAGTACAGGAAGAAAGAATTAGTTTGTAGAAAGAAATATATAAAGCAATTTTCATCTCATGGTTTAAGGGAAGACAGAGAGTGTATACACCTACTCCACTGTGATCGATTCTGAGCCATGTCGCCCACAGTCTACAACCATTGGTTACGATAGTCACGCGGACCCCAACCAAGTAGTTTGCATCTATCAACATTGCTAGGACTAGAAGTTAGCGACTTCAAAAACTTATGCCACGTTTTAGTTTGGCCGCCTCTAACTTTCTTCCAACCATCACCAACTCCAGTCAGCAGCATTGCGCGTTGTGGTAATCAGTATTCAGACATACGTAACACGTGGCCCAACCATCTCAGTCGGTGAAGATTTACAACCTCATCAACTGATTTACCATCATTCCCTAATACCCTATGTCCAACCTCACTATTATTTGGCCGGTGATCCCAGCAGATGCGAGCAATATTTCTAAGGTATCTGTGGTTAAATACTAGTAGCTTACGAATATCTTATACTCTTAATGGCAACGTTGCTCAGTCGTAAAGTAGAACATAACGAACTGTTGGGCAGTATACTCGTCCCTTAATTGATATACGGATATCTCACCTTCACCATAGGCGACGTAAGTTGGCAAAAGCCAAACGAGCCTTCTGAATCCGTGCTGAGATTTTGCCAGACACCAACTAAATGAGCAAGTTTAGAGTTGAAAGTTGATATAGGAGGAATGATAGGAATTGAAGAGAGATATTGATTATGAATACAGTGATTTTGGGTGCTAGCCCACAATGTGAAAGCGTTCTTCTAGAGGTACCTGAAAAGGAAATTAGTTCAAAGGTGGTCTTAGCATTCCGGCTCAGCGAACAGATAATGGTGATCGTTTGCTGCAACTGTGCTCAGACAATCGTTTATTTCTAGCAAACACCAATTTTAAACATAAGGAGACATAATCTTATACGGCGACTCCCTGCACCAAACCAACAATGGACTCAAATAGACCATATTGCCATCAATCATATTTGAAGAGAGTCGATAGAAGATTGTTGCTCGTTCTGGAATACTTGGTTAGACTCCGATCATGCATATACCTGCGCCTCTCTGGACGCAGGAAAACCACATAATTTAATTGAGTAATGATAAAATCAAAAGTAGGTTCCAGGAACGACTGAGGCCACACCTAGGTAGTTCTGAAAACGAGGCCGATCTAGATGTTGCTTGAAAAGATATACAAATAACAGTGACATCTGTTAGTGATTTGAACCAGTTACAAAAAACCAATGGATTTCTTCTAGGACTATTGCACTGATGGATTCTCGTAAAGTCATATCATCAGGCTGTCAACACGATGATGAGCGAAAGCAAATCAGATCTAGCTTAAGCAAAAGTCTATGGAACGACTGTGGGCAGTGGCGGGCAACGAAAGCAAAAGAGATAGAAAAGGCGGCTGCTGTAGGTAACACAGGACAACCCTTCAGACTCATAAAGGAAATTGGAACTAAAAAACCAGGTATGAGTGAGATCATATCGGAACAAGACAACACTTTCATCTGCTTCCAGCCCAGACGATTAAAATAATGGGAGGAACACTTGAAGTAGCAGTTCAGTTAACCTTCAGCAACTCTACAACTACCCACCATTTCCAGACAGCGTGAATAGAGTACTGAAGTAGGTCCCCCGACTCAAGCTAAAGTTCAAAAGGCTATAGCTAATCTGAAAAGAGGAAGAGCAGCTGGTACAGATGCATTGGCTTCAGAGGTATTTAAGTATAGTGGTCTAATTCTAGAGATTAGGTTGACTAATATTTTAGCTAAAATCTGGGAGTTGGACGTAATCCCACCTAACTGGTCACAATCACTGATTTTCGCAATATATAAGGGGTCAAATTCATCCTGCGATAACCATAGAGAGATTAGTTTGATCGATCACAACAACGTAGGCGTATACATCCTTTGTCTTCCCTTAAAGCGCGAGATTAAAATTTTCATACCTTTCTACCCATGAACCAATTCTTTCTCCTTGTATTATATCCTATTACGCAATCTCTTTTATACATTTCTATCATTGAAGTAACTACTTCGATGAATTTGGTGTTCAACTTGTTTTGCTAATGAGGTGTGGCATATATGTGCCCGGCCCTAAGTCGTAGCTGACTGACTGGTGTTATTTATGCACTATATATATTTCTATACGTTGAGTGACTAGTCGTAAATAAATTTATATGATCGTCCGTTTATTTAGAATTATTCGTCATCACATTATAGCCTCAGAAAAACCTATCTGTTTTAATAAGTACGAGGACCTAACTGTAACCAGTACCATAAAACACCAAATAGATTATTACACCCAATTATAGCTAAGTAACGAGAAAAACCTGGAAAATAAGATCAGGTTTACTAAACATTCTGAATACTAGTTGTCAGGAGTACACGTAATTTCCCCTACAATACCATAACCTCCCTAACAAAAATAAAACCAGGTAATCAAAAGTCCAACTAGTGCCTTTGATAAATTTATATAATGTAATAAAATACCAAGACTATCAGAACTATGATATATAAGCCCAATGAATTTCGAAATATCTGATCATATTTACCTGTTGAAGCATTTATGCATAAAAAAGAGGTCAACTGCGCAAATTGATCGGTGTGAAAAACTTAGCGAGCCATACAACTGAATAGTAAATCAATAAAATCAAGGTACGTACCAATCTTTTTTAACACCATGGTGGTTTGAACTTTCGTACGATTAGGGCTTTAACACGTTTAAGTATTCGATTTGGACGACTTTTTAAGAAAACATAAAGGCTGAGTTAAGATCAATGAGTGGTAATTTGGAGCTCTAATGACAGCAGATTGAAATGCCGAGTAACATATTCCTGTGAAAAGCATTCAGCCACAGCTTCTTTACTAAATAGAGTTGTTCCGCCATCATCATGTCAGTCATGCAAAACTAACGATGAAAATAAATAAAATGAACCATCGAGCCAACAATTTCGCTGAATTAGCTTATGCAGATTATTAATCACCCTATAAGTCAGAATCACTACAACTACTTTCGTCTATTTACAAAGCAATACTTTTCGTTTGATAAAGCAAAACAATTTTACTTAAATGTGATCTGTGAATGATTTAGAAGTCATTAATATGATAAGTTATTGCTAACAAAGTGGACAGGAAATGATACAGTTTTAGACATCTAAATAGGTCGAATATGAATGCAACGATAACCTTCGCTATATCCTCTTTTATATGATATCACTGCAGAGTTGAATTATTACGAATAACACGTTAAAGAAACAAGTCTAACACTACAAAGAATTACATCAAATGGTTTTATATGTACTTTAACGTACAAAGTGGGAAATATTAACAGTGATTTATCAGAATCTGAAATAACTCCGTTAATTCGCAACCTGGACGAGCGTTATCGTCTCTCCTTTTAAAAGGATCCTTCCTGCAAGGAAACAACTCGAAATGAAATTACAATACTAACCCAAAGGTTTTTTAGCTCCTGACTTCATGTGCCTTTCACAAGCGTCAGCCAACACTAGGTTCATGTACTCGTCAAAACCCTGTGTACAGTGGTGAGCAACAAATTACTGACGTACAATTATCACTCCTTCAATTCGTAAGTTACACTGTTCATACAGCCATACCCTCACACGTGCTTTCTAGGAAGAAGTATTACATAGACAGTCGTTTCAACAAAATACCTTCTGCAAGAAATTATAAACAACACCCTGCAGTTACCAATAAGCATACAACAAAGGAACTTACAATAGGAGGTTGGATAGCTTTGTAAGATCTACCGCCTTCTCTGTGCATCGTGCTCGAAAATTCAGTGTAAGCGCTTGAGCTAAAAACAAATTCTTTGTTAATATCCTCTACGTTCCAATGTCCAATCTATTCAACGACAAACTTCGAGATAAGAAAAGAAATTCTATGGTTATTTGGCTCACAGTTAAGCGGCGATTCATGGTTTTTCTGAACTGGAGGTTCTTAGTAGAGTTTGTGGGTTGTAGACAGTAATGTCTTAGGTTATACACTGTTAAAGTATTCATTGATATCTAAATCTTTCTCGATACTATTAAAAAAACCCAGGACAGTTCAAACATCGTTGTCAAGAGCTTGTATAAACCGACTGATTTTTTTCGACCCCTTCTTGTTGTTTGGGAACGGTTCTAGGTATCTGATAATGTCCAGTGGGTGGTAACATATCCACTTACTTACGCTTGTCACCCTTCATGGAGGGATATAGGCCGTCCACCACCATTCTGTATCCAGCATTGTCCTAGCCAATCCTTTCTAGTTGTTTCGTGTTGCTATTCATCCTTTTCCTGTCTGCTTCCAATTGCCGACACAGTGCGCTGTTTGGCCTTCCTCTTTAACCTTTCCCTTTAGGATTTCAAGTTGGTGCTCGCCTCGTAATGCAATTTGCTAATTCCCTCAATGTATGTCCTATCCATTTCCGGTGTCTTTTCCTGATCTCCTCTTCAGCTGTAAGTTAGTTTGTTCTCTCCCACAGTAGGTTGTTGCTGATGGTATCTAGCTAACGGACATTCAGTATCTTATGTAGACAATTGTTTAGAAATACTTGTACATTTTTGATGATGGTTGTTGTAGTTCTCCGAGTTTCAACTCCATACAGTAGGACTGTCTTAACATTCGTATTGAAGATTGTGACTTTGGTTTTGGTTGATAGTTGTTTTGAGTTCCATATGTTCTTCAACTGCAGGAATGCTGTCCTTGTTTTGCCAATCCTTGCCTTCACGTCTTGAACGAGTGAGAGGGCAAACACAAATGTTAATGAGAGTGATACGAAGTAGTTACTGACATATGGCACTGAGAACCATACTACATTATGAGATACATTAATGAAAATAATGCCGGGCGTTGTGGCTTTTCGTCGTTAGACCTAACTTTCATATCAATCATCCATCTGGGTGTCCATCTCTGTACTAAGTTTCACAAGTTTTCATCTGTTCTGAAGTGAGGAAGGGCGACGTTGCTATAGACGTCATGATTATGCCGTGCATACGTTTTGAAGAAAGTTAGAAACAACTTTCTGGTGATTACACCAAGTTATCTTCTCACAAAGTGCAGTTCGAGCTGACGTGTGTGCTCCCTGTGGTTACTAGTCTGAGATAACGCTCCGAGGAGGCGATCAGAAGCGAATATTCACGAAGAGTGTAAATGATCTGTATCTAAATCTACAAAATATTTATGACAAGACATTTCGACGAAATATTTTTAAACCTTTAGCATACTGCTCATGTATCTGCTAATGTAGTTTCTTTTTGAAGATTAAGTGAATCATTTTCACTCTTATGGACTTCTAGATTTTTGCGTTGCCTGTAAAGATTAGTGTTCACGAGCAAATTTTACTCCACAGGTCGTTAATAAAGATCACGATATGAGTGAAACTTAAATCGTTCCTGGCGAAAATCCTGATGTTAAGATCTTACAACTCACGGGCACTCGATTTACATCGATACGAAACATCTTATCCTTTAGGTAGTTTTGCAAACAACATAAATGTAGGGCAGTGAAACTCGTCTTTCCACTCTTTGGTGTGAGGAGTACATGCAGTACTGTGCCAATGGCTTTCACTAAATCGAGCAATATTACATCAACTGGTATACTATGGTTCCAGTAGGTTGTACAGTTTTCCAAAACTAAACACTGCTGAACTTGCCGAAGTATGTCATTTTTACCCATTTATTGTCTAACGCTTCTATTTAGTAGTCCTTCCATCACCTTTGACGGCACTGGGAGTACTGCAACTGGTCTGTAACAGGCTGGATCTTTTCTATCCGAATTTTCGAAATTGGAGATAGGTTGGCCTGCTTCCGTTTCCTTGAAAGTTGGTGTGAATCTAATGACGCCTGAATAGGCCTCACAGCGGTGTGCCAGTAGCCTCTGTGCACTGTTTCAGGGTTGTATCTCGAATGCTCAAAACCTGACGGTTTTCCTGGGCGCAAGAATTCTAGTTTTTCGACTAATAACCCAGAAGTTAGTTAGAGATCACTCAGACCCTCAACTGGTGATTTGTCTGTTTACAAGTACAAATCCCTGGTCCGTAGGTTTACTCTTATTCATGAATTTGTAGAAATATTTAGTGTTGGTTTTCGGTTCGGCTGCTAGTTTGGAATGAAAACATCTCCGATTGCCTAGAACTTTGGCATGGCATCTGTTTCTCAGTATTATGTAAGTTACGTTCAGAGTCCTTCAAGGAGACTTTCCAGTTGTGCCAAGTTCTCCGTTTGGCCTGTAGCAAGCGTTACGTGCGTCACCTAACCCGCGCTCTTTGCTTTCCGCTTGTGTCATGACCTTGAGTTTCATTATGTTCGATAGGATTCCGAGTGACGTTTCTCACTATCTCCCACTGGATACATAATATAAGCCTCCAACACACTCGTAGTCAGGGTTAGTATTGAACAAGTTCACACATCGCCGTGTAGTCTGCTTCAATGTAGCTAGAGTAAAGAACATTGTGGTCCCTCCTAAGTATCTCGTTTGTGACAACGTCAAACATGACCATATCATGATCGCTACTGTATTATGTGCATGGACACGGAAACCGTCAAATAGAAGCTGATTGTTTGTCGATAAACAACGTAGCTTTGAGAGTATTTTGTCCAGGATTGATCTCGTGGCATCATCCATATGTTCAGTTAGTCCTGAACTTCTAATGGCTGTTCGCAAGACTTTTATGGAACTACATTGTAGGAGATGTAGCTCTTGCTGAGATTTAAGGATGGAGTGTTCCACACTTTTTCAGGCAATTAATATGACAGCCCAATTTATAAACTCGAATATGCATGCCAATAACGACTATGATGCGTTTGGTGGAAAATGTTAAGGTAGATCCAAATAATTTTTGAATTAAAATGGCATAAATATCATACAGTGTTATGCATTTGTAAGCTAGTCTAAGAAGTAAATTGGTAAGAAGATCTTCCAATATACAAAATACGAATCGGCGGAAAAATATTTTGAAGTTCAGACATGAGTTATGGCATCGCAACTAAGAACAAGACAGGCATAATATAGACTTTATAAGAGTCCGCTTTAGTCAGCCTAGTAGCATTCTTAAATATGTAGTAACGATTATCAGATTAATGTTGGGTCTAATACGATTCTCTTATAAATGACAGACTTTGAAATTGTAGTATGTTGTCAATTGAAGCTACTAGATATGTCTTAGTTCAAAAAACGGTTTTACGAGTGGTTCATATGAACTATATATACGTCGAGTCTATGTGACAATATATATGTTAGGAAGTACCAAAAGCATGGAAAATCATCTGGCGAAATGATGAAACTCGTCTTCATTATTTTCGGAATTTAGATTATCCAACAGGTTTTACGAATATGCATCCAGCTGTGACAAAAGTGCAGATCAACAAGTAACCAGATTAAACAGACGATGCTGCAACTGACTCCAGGGTGTGTGGTGCTGTTGACACTGTCAGTCGATTGATCCAGTACAAATCCGAAAATGAGACAGTTAAATACTCGGCTTTTACCGTTTGAACAATTTGAAACAAGCTTAAGATTTCAGAAACTTTATGGCCTAAACTCTTTCTTAGTTTCTGCAGTATTCTCATCATTGTTTGGCGATAGAACTGAAAAGCAGGAAACTAGGTAGACATCGATTAATAATCATATATAGCTAATGCCTGATATTTAATAAACCCATTTCATCGAAAAATGTAAATGTTACTAAAGGCTGTTAATGAACTTGTTACTTATTACTCTTAGACGCTACTTCACTCAATAAGTTCCCAGACCAGAACACGGTCGAACAAGAGTGAAATCATATGCTAAATAAACAAGGTTGGACAGAAGACGGAATCATAATAGGAATAAAGGTTGACATATTCGTAGCTTTTATATAATAAGATTTTAGTGTCTTTTGTGAGTATCCGCTAGCGCTGATTGGTTTAGAAAAAACAATTCATAGCGCCACAACACATTTCTGCAAGGAACATGCCTTAATACAAACTTTATCCCTCTTTATACCGATCCATGTTCAAAGTCAGAATTTCACCGGTATACAACGCGTGAGAAAGCTGTTGTTCGCAACAAGTTAATGACTGGGAATCAAAAACACAGTCATCTTAGAGGTTAGGAATGAATATATTTTTGGAAGATAATCAATATGTTGAGATGCGTAGCACGGCGTACCCAATAGCGACCTGGTTCGGAAACACATCTGAGAGTTTCTAGCTAGGGTGCATCCAGTAAAAGTAATGAGACCGGAGTCAGTCTAGAAGAATTTATGGATTCGTTAACCACTACAAATCTTTTTCCTCTTAATGGGTTGGTGGGAACCCTAAGGCGTAACCAGCCAGAAAATTACACCAAACTAGCATGTCGTCGGTAAACATTTTTCTGATAACTTGGTAGCATCTGATCGTTTTTCTACTACTTACAGAAACCATGGGTTACATAATAATAATTTATGATGAAAGGTTCAGTTAATCGTATTCGTCTCCAGTTTTTCGTCCTTTACAGTCGTCCTGGGAAAGAAAGGAATGAAAGTGTAAGTGAACATCAAAATAAACTCAAACTTACGTAAGCGAACAAAGCATGCATTAAAAACCGGTATAAATGCATATTTACACCATGCGACAAAGAAAAGAATTTCACACGAAAATGTTTCTTTTGAGGGATTCTTCGCAAAAGTGGTTTGCACATACATATAAGTACGTTAAAATTATATTGACTTTTTTACAAGATATATAATTGTTCTGGGAGAGCCATGGTTCTTTTAGTGCACATAGATTGAGGCCGGTTATCTGATACCAGTGAAGTTTCTTCGCGGTTTTTAATATCGGCTATTACATCTTGATAGTGTG